ATCGCTGAAAGAGCTAAAAGCTATTACAGAGATCGAGTTTCAAAAGTGTTTCGAGGATTGGAAAAAGCGTTGGCATAAGTGTATTGTATCCGAAGGGGACTACTTTGAAGGCGACAACATTAATGTAGATGAATAAATAAATATTTTTTTCATAAAACGAAAACTCTCGTTATTTTTTGAACACACCTCGTATATCTAGAATGGTTGACAATATCGCTTTCGAGGTACAACGCAATGCCTAGTTATATTTTGTCTCCTTGGAATCGCTAATGGCGTTTCTGGAGTGTGGCGTTCGATTATTAGTTTTAACGTTAACGTGCGCGTTCAAATTAAGCGAGTAGCGTTCGAGTGCGAGCAGTGAGTGCGTTTGTGCGTGTTGACTTGAGCTTCGTTACCTCATCGAGTTTCCCCATGGTTTTCCATGGCTCTATTATTTACAATTGATCGAGCTAGCTATTTACCTAGCTTTTCTAACTTATTGTTAGTTAATCTATTTTATTTTTGTTTGATTTTGATTTTTGATTTTTGATTTTTGATGATTTGATTTGATTTGATTTGATTTTTGATTTTTAATTTTTAAATCTATAATTCTTTTTCTTGATTTTTTAATTTTTAATTGGTAACTTTTATTCTTATTCTTATTCTTAATACTATTGCTTAAATTACTGCTTAAATTACTGTTAACTGCTTAAAACTAATTTGATTATAATATAACTTAAAACTACTTACGAATGTACAGGCGTGTTTGTTATCACGCTAGATTTGATATTAATCAAACCTGGTTTAGGTCAGGGTTAGGTGTTTTGACGAATTGCAACCAAAGTAGCAGTTGAGTGAGCATATCGGGTTTTCTCCTTTTCTATCGTCTTAGTCTGTGTTCACTTTTAGCAGCACTGGATTTGATAAATATTTAGTGTATGGTTTTCGCTTTCAAAGAAAGCCGACAGCCACTAATTTCGCTTTCAATTGTAAAATTGCTTCGGCTATTAGGGCCTAAACAGTTCCTTAGCAGTAAGGATGCTGCCCTTCTGTGAAAATATTTTTCCTGAGGGTTTTGGCATCCATAGTGCGTTCTAATCATCGAGAGTTATTCGGCCCAATGGACTGTTTTCTCGCACAATGGTGTCGGGCCTTACTCCAGGAGCTCGAGGTAAAGAACTTTGGGTGGCTGCTATGACCACGACCGCGTCTCTTTACCCACAGTAGTGGCACCTACCGATTGCCAGTCGTTAGGGAGTAATTTGTTATCTCCCCGAATTATTTCCGAGTTGTTTATTTCGTTTGGCTGGTTGGCCTTTTGCCCTAGGGGCAAGCGTTGTGTTTTGCCTAGTGTTTCTTTACAGAGCCAGCGTTTTCAACCCCACCACGTGAAGATACATACATCCGCACTTGTGATTGCAAGTCTTTGTTCAAATACACATTGCATTCACTTCGGATCGACTAGCATTAGCTGCTTGTCGAGGGCAATCGGTGACGCATTTTGTACTTCAACATTTGCATTTGCATATGCCCGTACAGGAAAGAGAAGTTTACGATATCCTCTCCCAAAACAACGAATTGTTTGTTTGAGAAGTCTTCATTCTCTGTTGAGGAAGACAATTACTATCAGCCGCTTTGACAAAAATATTTTTGCCCAAAGTGACCTGGCCAGCCTCGCGGCTGGCCATGCGGTGCACTATGTGCATCATCTATGTTTTTGCTAAGCGGACCATAATCGAACTTCCTGAGAGCGTCGAGATTGCAACCGCCACTAGCAAACAATGTAAAATATTTCTGGTTCAGAATCCACCAACAATAGAGATTTCAAATATGATAAGCCAAATATTATGTTCTTACTGAAAAAAGCCGGGAAATAGGATAGCCGAGTTCTTAAAATGGAAAGCTAACTAAAATAAAGCCCGCAATCAAAATCAGACAAACGAATCATGATCCCCACAAATGAGTGCAATGCCAAGGACCAATACATAAGTGCGTCAATTGAATAAACACAACGAGATGTTGCTCAGCCTAGTTCGTTAAGTCTAAAAATCTTTGCAAAAGTTCCTTTAATAAACTTTCTAGGAAATAACCGTCTGAAAAATCATGATTTATACTAGGTCAGAAGCTAGGATACTTAAAATTAGTTTACTACAAAACCATTTAGAATATATCGATAATTTAAAATGTACTTTTCTGAAAGGAATTGGCTTGAAAACTATACCCACAGTGTGCACAATTACCTTATTGATTTTTAGAAAACTTACCGAATTTCAAATTGTCATAAGTAACTTTGCGATACCTTCTGAAGCAGTACTTCAAGCCGAAGATTCTCTGGACAATAAGGCAATTATCGATTTTTCCACCCATCAATTGATTGTTGTCGATCATAAACTCTACTTTGAAAAAATAAACTGTTCTGCTCGTACTAGTTCCTGTTTTGTTCACAATACCACAATAAAAGAATTTGATAAAGTATCGCTTAAAATCAGGATAATCAACCCACTTACTAATACCAAAGAATATTTCCTATTAGACAGAGGGTTAGAAGACAATCTTATAAAACAATATTAATTACCTTTGGGAAATAAGATAGATACCATTAAAATGATACATATAAGAAAAATCGTAAGCAACCTATAAATGACACTAGGAATTACAGAAATAAAATTATTTAGGACTAATACAGTTTTTCATGTTAATGATGATTTTGGTATGATAAGTGAAGGTATATTAGGCTTATTCTTTTTCAAAAATTCAATCGCTATACTCGATTTTAAAACATTCAGAGAAAGAAACTTTGTGGTACCGATGATACTTACCGAACATGAATTTAAGCCCGGACAGAATAAAGGATTGACTAATGATGAATTCGATAAACTTCTACAAGAACTCGTGCCTCTTAATCCACCTTGCAGTATGGTCGTCAAGCATGTTTTTACAATGGCATCAAGAGAAGTATGTGATAATCTCGACTTTCACTAATTAGACGAATTAAATGACTCTTATATGCCGAATTTATTTTTTGAAGACAAAAGTGAAGGGTCGAACGCCCAAATAGAAGAACACTTGGATTTAGATCATATGAACGAAAAAGAAAAAGAACATGTTGTCGAACTAGTAAATAAGTTCAGAAATATTCTACCATATTTACCTAGAGATGACCTACCTGGCACCAATTTAGTCATGCATGAAATTAACACTGTGGACAAAGTGCCTATTAATCATAAGCAATACCAATTCCCACATACTATGAAAGATAAACTAAATTATCATGTTTATAAGCTCTTAAAAGCTGGAATAATTTATGAATCTTATTCATCATATAATACACCGATTTGGATAGTACCAAAAGCTACTGATGAAAATGTTAGGATGGTACTTGATATGAGGGAGCTCAACGAAAAAACCATCGCCGACTCTTACCCAATAACAAACATCTGTAACATTTTTGATCAAGTTAATGGTACCAAATGGTACACCATTTTAGACCTAGCCATGGAATTTTTTCAAATTCAGATGCATTCTAAACACGCACATAAAACTGCTTTTAGCACTCCATTCGGTCATTACGTTGTTCGTATATGCCGTTTGGATTGAAGAACGCGCCCGTGACTTTTCAACGATTAATGGATATACTGTTTCACGGTCTACAAGAAATAAATCTATTCTTATACTTAAATGATATCCTGATTTATTCTAATACTATTGAGGAGCATGATCGTAAATTAGAACAATTAGCAGATAGATTAAGGAAAGCAGGACAAAAACTGCAAGTTATGGAATGTAAGTTTCTTAGACGTAAGGTTACATATTTAGGACATATTATCAGTGCAGAGGATTTAGAAGTTGATCCAATCAAAGTCATAGTTGGTAAGGAGTTTCCTAGGCCGAGAAACATTAAAAATTTTCGTTATTTTTTAGGTTTAGCTGGATTTTATAGACGGTTCATCAAAAATTTCGCTAAGATAGTTAAGCCCCTCACGAAACTTCTACATAAAGGAGTCCCATTTGAATGGAACGAAAAAGTCGAAACAGCATTTTTTGAGTTGAAAGACTTAATCTGTAATGCTTCCCTTCTACAATTTCCAAATTTGTCTAAAGGATATAACATCAGGACTGATGCTTCTGGCTATACCATTAAAGGAATTCTTTGCGAGAATTAATTGGTACCGATCGTCCTATCACAGACTTCTCACGGGTTTTTCGTAGACTTCATAATTCAGAATTGAATTATGAAGTCTACGAAAAGGAAGCATTAGCAGTAGTATAAATATATTTTTCTCGAAAGATGGTTACTGGGTTTGATTGAGACATTTAAATGTGGCATGAACTTGCATGTATTTAACATATTTTTTTTATGAAAGTACTGATCAATTCCTTTAAAATCAAGCAAAAATCAACTCAATTTGATGAAAAATGACAGAGTTACATGCATTTTAAAAAAGGCAATTTTTCAATAAAAAATTTGGTTGTGATTATTTTGTTGCGTAGTTTATTGTAGGGTCATTATGAACATTAGGTTCTATGAAGAATGTTACTTCCTTACCATCTTTGAGAGAAAGATCATAAAGAATCTAAAATTAATAAAAGAACAAAGTTACATGAGAATATATTCAAAATCAGTATGTTTTTCTACATACGTATTCAACAGCTGTTCAATATATTACAATATATTTCGGATTGGCAATTAAATTATCTTAGAAAATTAGAAGATAAAAATATGGTTAATAACATTGGAGTATTGCAATTTTTATGGGGTAAAAAGAGGCAAAAGAGGACAAAATGGTAAAAAAAAGGCCTGAAGGAATAACGGGCGCTTATATATATATCATGAAAGTATATATACTTCATAAAATATATGAAATAGCCAAAAGACTTAATATCTATTTATTATATACATAAGCGCTGGCATAATCATCTGCTCTATCTGTAGAAAAAAGTTGCAAATATATTGCAATAGCTTATATATGCCTCTATTCATCTACATAGATATTAATATTAAAAATACAATTAATACATACCGGAAAGACTTTTTCAGTAACATTATCAATTAGTTCACTCTTATCCTTTCTGCAAAAAAAAGTAAAGCCATATTAGTCATAATATTTATCTTTTATTACTCAAATTTAGAGAAAGTGTATATTGTGTACATAGTTTATAGATATATATACGGAAATATTATGGAAAAAAATAAGTACAAAAGATAAAAACGAACCTCATCATTTATCCAAATCATTTATGTGACAATAATTATTACAGGATAGACAAATTTTTAAATAATCTAGTCATTTCATTTTTATCACTGAGCCACAATTATAAATATGTCAATATCGAAATTATTTAGCTAATAAATCATTAACGAAACCTGTTAATATTGAATTTTTAAAAAGGATAGTGTCATTTGTTGTATCGAAAACTACCACTTATGTTAGTGCTAATTTGATAAGACTTTGAAATATAAATATTATATATGGGTGTATGTGTGAAGGAGGGGAGTGAAAAATAAGGTACATGTTTTATTTATATTATTATAAAAATTTGTAGTTAGTAATAAACTAAATCTTAGCCATATACGTCTACTATGTAAAGCACTACGAAAACCCTAGATTTGGTTTTTATCGTTAGATATCAAAAGCAATTCTAGTGATATTAGTAGTGGTTTACATAGCAGGAAGCTGAAAAGGCAACATCCTCACCTTTGGATTGTGTTTTTATAGTTAGTAACGTTCGAATGATTACTACACTTTGTAGAGATGCTTGTGTGACCCGAAGTATGATGCCGATGAAAACGTCCTTCTAGTCACTATCGCAAACTTTTCGTGATAAGCCGTCATGTTGGTGGCTACGGAAAGCTTTACCACTTTGATCTCGAGCGGTTTTTTTCGCAGCGGTAGACACATATATAATTGATGTACGGGAAAACTTACGTACTGTATACTGCTCTATTATAACAAAAGAAATCGAAATTTTTTTCAGTTCCAATAATGCTAGTCTTGCAGACAGGGAAAGAAGTTTTTTTATACTATATTATGAGATAATTTTATATTGAATAGTTTATCTTTTTCAGGTAAAGCGTATTTTTTTGTATTTCATTTCAATTTCTAATCTAATCTTCGCATCACTGTTTCATTCAGTTTAAAAAGTTTTCAATCATCCCTTACAGTTTGCAAGATACTTAAATATTCACATAGGCTTTCAGAATATATACGGAAGTAGAGAATGTAAAAAATTATGGTTATGAAATGGTAAAGCAAGGATATAAAAATAAACAATATTAAGAATAAATAGGATTACATTAAATTAGCTCACAAAAACAAAATAACTAAAATGATATTTGTGTTCGAAATTAAGATTAAAGAATAAGAAATGATGAAACTGCAAATTTTTTTCATAAAGTAACATGTAACGGTCCTATGTACGAGCGTGGTCCAATAAGTACTTAGCCTACAAAAGAAAAACTAAAATTTTGGAAAAGTGGCGTTTCATTTTTCATCAGAGTTTCCTTTTGAGTTCGATACACTTGGCCCAGCGATGCTCCAATTTCATTAACCCGTCTGAAAAATACGTTTCCTCGAGGTCTGAAAAGTAGGCTTCCGTGGCAGCGATTACCTTCTCATTCGACTCAAATTTCTGCCCGGCGAGTGACTTTTTCAAGCTTGGAAACAAAAAGAAGTCGCACGGTCCTAAATCTGGAGAATACGGTGGATGGGGCAGCAGTTCGTAGCCTAATTCGACCAATTTGACCATGGCAACGGCGGAGGTGTGAGCCGGTGCGTTGTCATGGTGGAAGAGCACTTTTTTCTTCGCCAAATCGGGCCGTTTTTTATGCAATTCAACGTCGAATCGGCCCAATAATTCGACATAGTACAGCCCTGTGACCGTTTTGCCCCTCTCCAGGTAGTCGACGTAGATTACATCTTGTGTATCCCAGAAAACGGTGGCCATCACCTTTCCGGCTGATGGGGCAGTCTTCGCCTTCTTCGGAGCACTTTCGTCGCGTAAAGTCCACTGTTTCGACTGTTCCTTGATCTCTGGTGTATACCAGTGGATCCATGTTTTGTCGACTGTCACGAAACGACGCAGAAAATCCTTCGGATTGCGCTTAAACAGCATCAGACATTGCTCTGAAGTTGTCTCACGGTTGCGCTTGTTGTCCGGAGTGAGCAAACGCGGCACCCATTGCGCCGATAGCTTTCTCATGCCCAAAATTTCATGCAGGACATGACCCACGCGGTCATTTGACATGCCTACGATCTTAGCTATCTTGCGCACCTTCAATCGTCGATCTGCCAATACGAGACCGTGAATTTTTGTCACGTTATCCTCCGTGGTAGCCGTTTTCGGAGCACCTGGACATGGCTCTTCAAAAATCGACGTGCGACCACGTTGAAACTCGTTAAACCAATTTTTGACGGTCGCCATCGAAGGAAAAGAGTCACCGTACATAGCATCCAAGCGCTTTTTAATTTCGCTGCGCGATTTCCCTTCCAAAAACAAGAATCGAATCACCGACCGATACTGCTCTTTTTCCATTTTTCAAAAATCAACCGACACACTTGTTTTCACACGCTCTCAAAAATAAACTACAACTTCGATCCGGCTGAAATCTTGACAGTAACCATCGAGAAGGTTGTACTACGTGATATAATATTTCTTTTGCGAGAGTGGCGCCATCGGACGGTGAGGCTAAGTACTTATCGGACCACCCTCGTAATGTCTCCCCGGAGTTGCGTGAACGATCCTAACAAGTTCTGCAACGTATGTGGACTTTATGCTACTAAAAACTAAAGGAGAAACATTACGCCTTCAATCGAAACTGCTTACAAAAACTATTTCGGCTATTTTATCGTGAATATAGACAAATGTTGGGTGCCAAACACAATTTGTCTAAGTTGCCATACAATATTAAGTCGTTGGAATAAAGACAACTCTTCGCAAAAATTGCCTTTCAGTTCTCCGATGATCTGGCGTGAGCCACGTGATCATAATGACTGTTACTTTTGTTCTATTGACCTGAAAGGTTTCAACAGTAAGAATAAATCTGCAATTCTGTATCCTAATGTCTTATCTGTTACTAAACCAGTTTTACGGGGGACTCTTGTCTGTGAGAAATCATCACCCCTCAAGAAAGCAGCATGTTTACCTACTACTTCCAGGAGCCCAGACGAAATAAATGATATCGAGGTGGACGACGAAGATCCGCAGTCAGATGATAGTGCACATTTCGATACAACCGAAAGTGCTCAATTGTTTACACAAGCTCGAAGAACTTTTTCTTCGTACAGAAACAGAGAGCAAGAATATATCAGATATTTCGCAGAGAAAGATGGATTGACTTACTGTCATGACATGACTGGCTTAATGACAAAATTAGGCTTGATATACGTCGCTATTGAATGGCATCTCTTCATCGATTCGTCTAAAAGAAGTTTGAAGACTGACCTCCTTCACAATGGAAATAAATATGCTTCGATTCCACTCGCCCATTTAGTGTATCTAAAAGAATCTTACGAGAATATGCAGATAATTCTTGAGAAAATTAAATATGAAGATTATAAATGGCATATATGTGGTGATTTAAAAGTTATAACTATACTTCTTGGACAGCAGTCGGGGTATACCAAATACCCATGTTACATTTGTTTGTGGGATAGTAGAGCTACTACACGTCATTGGGAAGAATCTAAGTGGCCACTTCGCGCGTCTCTGAAGCCAGGATCACACAATGTTCTCAAAAAACCTTTGTGTGATCCAAAAAAAATACTTTTACCTCCCCTCCACATAAAATTAGGATTGATTAAGCAATTCATCAAAGCCCTTGATCAGAATGGAAAATGCTTCCACTACTTATTGGATAAATTCCCAGGATTATCTAATGCAAAAATAAAGGAAGGTATTTTAATTATAATATAATTATAATATAATATAATGAATGTAATTTTCACAGGTCCGGATATAAGAAAGATGATGAAATCGGTTGATTTTCAACAAACGATGACAAGAAAAGAGAAGGCTGCATGGGTGAATTTTGCAGCGGTTATAGAAGGATTTTTGGGTAATAAAAAAGTAAAAAATTATCACGTAGTCGTTCAAAATATGCTTACCAGTTTCAAAGAGTTGGGTTGTAACATGAGTTTAATAGTACACTTCCTCAATTCTCATTTAGATTCTTTTCCTGAGAATCTTGGAGCCCTAAGTGAGGAGCAAGGAGAAAGATTCCACTAAGATATCCAAGAGATGGAAAGAAGGTATCAAGGTAGGTGGAATGTTAATATGTTAGATAACTACTGCTGGGCTCTTAAACGTGAAGATGATGGCCTACAGCATAAGAGAAAGTCAGGAACCAGAAGCCTAGACGAAAAAAGGAAACGATTCCACAAATCAGATAATTGATAACATTGAAGCATCTGACATAATGTGGTTAATAGCATTGCTATTTGGTAATTAGGGGGTTGCTAGCATTCTCATTGCGTTATTAGGGGCTTATTAGTTTATTTCATATTCGAGGGTTATTAGGGGAGAAGTATATAGACAGAGACAAGCTTGTATATGGATTGAGGTAATAGAGAGAGATAACATTAAGCACAAAAATCATTGAAATCGAAATTATATTGCGACTATGAAAATTTATGACTAGAGGAAAGAGGGAGGGGGAGAATTAGCCGGAGTTTGTCGATGGCTTTTACCCGATACAGATGTACAGTTCTGAGTCCTTGAAGTACTTTGCAGATTTTCCCCGTGATTTTCCTAGTATTGGAGTGCATTTATTTTGAAGCACCATAACTCACTCGTGATCACCGTGCCTGATTTGGAATTGTATAAAAATCATGTTGCTAAATACAAAAGCCGCTAAACTGACGATAGAAAATTGAGATTGAATAAAGATACCAAATCTACCCCAGTCTAAAAGTGAGTACTGCACGACTTACTGTTAACCAGAAATTTCACGTCTATTCATTTCACTGCATTGCACATCAGCGAAATTAAGAGTTAGGTAAATAGTGCAAAGAAGAGTACGTACTAACGCGTCAGCGTTCGAAACTCGTTGTACGTGTACCTAATTTCAAAGT